TATGAATCAAACAATCTCCTTGCAGCAATAAGGGACCAGACAAAAAATATTCTATTGCAGCCTTTATTCTGGTGGCTTTATGAGTCACAATTACCTTCTCTTAGACAAAAAAAGACAATGAAATAAACAATGTCTCTGCATAAAATAACCTTGATATTTATTCATAATCACCCACTCTTTAGTTGCAGCTTGCTCTGTTCCAAATAACACACACGCATATTTTGCATGTTGATCTTTAATATTCTGTATGTTGTAAAGGGTTGGGTTATATCAATCCAGGCTATATACTATTCATAAACAGAATGTGCAGAACAGTCTGGTTGTGTGTGGATGAACTGATCTTTTCGAGACCCATTGAAATTGTAATATATGACATTCGGTTTAGAAGTGTACACATAACATACATTGGTGTAGGGAGGTTCTGATCTCCATAGCACTGGGGCTCAGTGTGTGTGAAGATAAATATTAAAAAGGTCACTCATCAACCAGAGCAATCTTTTAATATGAGGCTCATGAAATCTCTGAAATGTATTGATTTTCTGTTATTTTTCTGCTTCTGAGTTACTGTAATTTTCCTGCAATTTTAGAACAAATATAAAAATTGGTCCAAAATGTGAGACAGCCAAGATATTGCACTTTTATCAGTTAATGTCACTGATTGTGCCTGTGTATGTTCTTGTTTTATCTTGAATGTGGGTGACTTGTAACTTAAAGTGTCATTCACTTTATTTAATCTTATTAAACTAACAAAAATGACACTTTTAACAGATTTTGAAATAATTTTTAATTTTGATTTTAATTTTTAATTTTCTAGTTCAGAAATACTTGTAGAGGAAACATTTTTAAGATCATCAGTGTTATCTACATGTGAATAATATCTTACTAAAAATCTAGACTAATTTTGAAATGTGAATAACATTTGACTGGTCCTTCTTTTGTACATACCATTTGTGTGGTTTAGAAGATCTACTTCTGGGCAGAGCTGCTCATTGAGAAGACTATTCTTGAAGAAGTAAATCTACATTGACAGTTTAACAACCTGTAAAAACGGCACAATTCTAGTATGTCCCACTTTATGATGGCCTAGTTAATGTCTTTGTGTTTCCATGTCATCTCACATTTTTTCTGCTTGCTTTGATGTATTTTCGTGGCCTGTTTCAATTCACAGACTGCTGACACTCTAAGGTTTAACTCTGCCATCACTCATATTATTCTGGTACCCTCCTCTGGTGCTTTCAAACTATCCAATTTCTGGACATGACACCAGTTTCTTTATCATGTTCTTTCGGAATTCTTGGAATTTGTTGTTTATCCTGATGCAAAACAGGAGAACTATTACATTAGAAAATGGAGCACATATTTATGAACAATGCAGTAGAGCTGAATTGATCACATTGAACTTATTGCATCCCTTCTGACAAATTCTGAATTCTCCATTAGAACAGTCACGCTTGTATTCTAAAGAAGCCACTGAGAATTCTGTTTGAAACACTGCTCCTTAGTAGCTGTAGAACTGATAGGATATATTTACAACATATACTGACCCATTTATTTCTAAAACAGTACTCAAAGTGCAATAATATTAGGCAAAGTAAATAATAAGGTTCTCATTTAATTACTAATGCGCATTATACATTCCTAAGGTTACTTAATAATTGGATAATACGTGACCCACAATCTGCTGTTTTCTCTACAGCAGTGACATTGCTCTACAACTGATGTTTCAGTTGCTTAGCCTCTAATTTGTTCTCTCCTCTCTAGCTGGTGGAGATAATTGAACACCACCCTATTTAATCTCAGGCTGATTCAGCAGGAATCCTTTCCATTCTTCATTCTTAATTTTTAATCTATTGCCACATTCTATAATGTGAATAGCAGTTGCATGCTTTCACAGTAATCAAAGAAATAAGTAATCACTGCATCTCAAACTGATAGCCCAAAAAGGCAATATTAAAATTGATAATGTCTATTCAAGATCAGTTCATTGTTTCATATTTAACCATAAGGTTCTCTTATAAGAAAGATTACTAATAACAGCAGGTCTTTTGGTTGCTAGTAACTTAATGGTCTGTGAATTCCAGGTGTCCATTTCTTAATGGATCCCAAAAAGACAGTTTCAAGTACGGTACATGAAGTATCTCCTGTTTTTTGTCTTGAATGCACCTAAACCTACATTTTCTAATTTGGGGTTGATTTTGAAGCTTCTTATCTTGAAGAAGTTGACATATTTCATACCTTTCAATACTTTGAATTCATGAATCACGTTCCTCTTAGTCTGGCCAAGTATGACAGGAGTTGGAGCTACTGCTAGTAAATGGAATCTGGTCTGTGAAAGGGAAAAAGCAATTTTGCTTCAGAACGTAAAGCATTCACTAGTCCCAAATGACTCCACAGTTCCTCAGGAAAAGGCCATGATTACTGCACTTAAGAAGTGATGCAGTGTAACTATAACAGGGCAATGATGAATGTCTGGGCTAAGGATCAGCAAACACTTTATTTTCGGAGAATGCAATATTTGTAACTTAAAATGAATCCCAAATAGAGGAATGCTAGATTGCTTTCCTCAAGCCATTTTTCAAATTGCCAGCAGATCTCTGGCTAATGCCTTTTTTTCAAATTTAATTTATTTTTACATGGAGAAACAGATCAGCACATTAATGAAATTCTTACAAACATTTAGGCAGCAAGTTCAGTAGCTTAAGCTGTTGAAAATGTGACCCTGTGGTCTTTGTGTTTCCCTTCAGCAAGGTGTTTTGTATGGGAACACCAAACACACAGGCATGCTAAGAAAATATCAGAGCACATACAGTAGTAATTTAAGGTGAAGTTAAGCACATACTGTATGCTTTATGTAATAAGAACAGAGTCTTGTGTTTTTTATCACTATAAGGAAATAAAAGATTTAAGTTTAGAGAAAATGTAGAGTGTTGGTCATATGAAAGAAAATGTCAGGACATGGCATATAGCAATTAACAAGGCTTCCAGATTAAGCTTGATGGGATGGAGACCAATAATTTGGTAGTAACTTGATGAGAAATATGGTATAAATACCATATTTTCTACCTTTTCTCTTTTAATTTTCTGATCTAAAACATCAAAATTATCATTTTCCATGATGAAGATAAGTACTTTGTACAGCTTGAAGAACTATGGGACGGCAATCAAAAATTAAAAAACTATTTACCCTTCTCTATACCAAATTTGACCCTACTTCAGCTATAAAGCATGATCCAGGGGAGCAACATATACCATAGTCTCTTTTACTTTCTAAAGGAGCCCGCTAATTTCTTCTACTGGCTAAGTCTGGTGACTTATACTGTACATATGATTGATTCAATTGAAACAGTAAATGGTTTTCTAGTTCCTCCATCCAATTAGTCACACACTGTATGCTGTAAATAGTATGGCATTTTCATTTAATTGCTAGACATTAAGACATTACACAAGACAAATAATGAATAAAGCAAAATTTGCATTATACTGTAATACCAGAAAGAAGTTTTTATGCTATCAAACTGCTTTTTTAAGGTAAAAGATTTGGGGATAGTGCTAAAATTATTTAATTATGGAAGGAACTTATCCAATAAATAAATACAACTTCCTCCTCAAGAAGATAAATCAATGGTTTATATATGTATGAGGTCAGACCTCTTTTCCATTGGTTAGAATTAGAATATTAGAAGTGTGAAGATGGCATTTTGTAATGGTTATCTAGCATAGTCCTGATCACTGCATTACAAAAAAGACATGCAAATAGTACAAAAAGAGCAATCAAAATAATTCACAATAAGGAATCAAGTCTTGAACAGAGGCTATTATAAGAGTAACTGCTAAACAAAACACATTCAAAATAAGAAAAAAGAAACAACCAAAGGGCACTTGTGTTATTATGTTTATTACTAGTTTGATGTCATTATATGTGATACTTACTGTATTACCTCAAAACCCATTTGACTATGAACTCAAAATATATGAGTTTCGCTCTTCTTTGCTTCTGCCAGGATTCAGATGTATATTTAAGTGCTCCATCTGCTCCATAAACTCATATTTATCTTGGTTTTAGCTTCTGGATTCCATTCCATGCAAATTCCATTTTGCCTTCTAAGAGAAATGGTTCCCAAATCAGCCTTAACTCAAGGATCATATTAGGAAGAGGCAAATAAAATAAATAATAAGAGAGGTTCCTCTGTCTCTTCTATCCTGCTGTATCAGAAACTTTAAAGAGCCTCCTTGAACAGTAGACTTTAAGATCCCGGATGACCCCACTGAACATACAGTATTTTGTCAGGGAAATGACCACGGGGTTTCACCTCAAGGAAATATGATAAACTGTATGGTGGATAGGCCCACCTTCATCTCTTTTTTTCTTTTTGCATATACTCTGGGGATGTTTACTCCAGATTCATTGCTAACTTCTATTTTGGGTTTGTACAGTCTGATCTCCCTAATGTTCCCCTTTATTTAACTGGTTTAATCAGTTCCTCATTTCTCCAGCTGGGCTTTGGGATCTTTTGGGATGAAAAATCCAGATCCAAGCAAGTAATTTATCTTATCTTTCCTTGGTTCATATTTTTTGTTCAGCTTCTCAGAATGTAATGATTTTCTGTTGGATTGTTTTCATTGTTGTTCTTTAGTTTGTTTTGAAAATTACAAATCTTTAGTTTACAATAACAGGAACAAACTACATTAACTGAAAATTAAGACATTTAACAGACATGCATTTTTTTGATAGGGTAGTTATCAGACCATTAGTTTTTTCTTTTCATCATCTTGTATAAAAAATGTTTTAGATAATTACATATCTTTAAGTTCTGATTCCACAGATGCTTATTTTATTGGGTCAGTGGTTTTGTCTGACCTTTTATTTGCTTAGACACACCAGACAGACCTGATTAGTCATCGATATGAATTACAAAAACATTTACTGTAGGTCTGTAAGACCTGTAGATCATTAAAATGCATCAAACATGTTTTTTAAAGGTAAACAAATAAAACCGGCACATTTTTCATGTAATTTATTAAAACAGAGCATTGAAATACCTCCCCACTGAAAAAAATCAGAACCACAACAATCTGAATAAGAATTGGTATATCTGCCAGTCAGGTGGATTAATAACTTTTTTTACCATAAATGTTATGACTGCAATCTTAGAAAATATATTAATTAATCCTTACATGGCTCTGTGTGTACTGTTTATACATATATATATACAGTACACACAAATATATATATGCTTACACACATACAAAATACACGCAGGAGCTAGGGCACAAATTTGAAGGATTGTTCTGACCACACTTTTCACATAAAGCAAGATTGAATTGAGCTTTGGGAAACATCAGATTAAATTAAACATTTGGTCATTAAACATTATACTCAATGGAGCTACACCAGGACAATGGTTCCCACCTCCCATAACAAGAAAATCCAGGGAGTCTATAAACATAGATAATTTTATTTTTTTTCTCAAGCCTCCTGGCCCTGCTGCACTGGTATAGCTTAATACAGACACAACCCAAGGGAAGTGAAAGATACACTGTTAACTGTACTACCAAATAAAGAGAGAAATTGCTAGATTAAAAAAATCTGTATTTTTTTTCCTTTTTTGTATGTAAAAAAGTTAATTTCCCCATGAAACATAAAAAATAAGTTTAATCAAACTGTCTGTGGCTTGCTAAAACCAAGGTAACAGTGTCTTTTTTAATACCAGGCTCTGTTTGGTGCTCAGAACACAAGAAGAACAAAAACAGTAGTTCAGAAATACTTCCCTCAAGGAGTAGTCAATGCAACATTGTTGTAGTCTTCCTGAGATGCAATAGTGATATCTCTCAGAGTGACATCAATTTGCAGGGGTTCATTTTCTTAAGTCCAGTCACTCTGGTGTCCTCTCTGTGTTGCCTGTCTGCAGTTGAGGGGATAAGGTTGAAAGGCTTGGATAATGTTTTTCTTTTATTATTGATACCTTTTAGGAGATTATCTTGAAGAAACTCAAAATACCACCATTGTTGGTGTACTGAACTACATGTACTGCTGTTGTCATGTGTCAACAATCTCGCGGGTAGGTGACTGTTCATGGGGCATGGCTGTTGTGTTGGGCAGTGTCTGGTTGTGAGAAATGGAGTTCTGCTGCAGTTCCAGAGCGATAGCATTCTGGGGGAACTCCTTCACCTGCCTTTTGTACTCCAGGAAAGTGCAGGCCTTAGTTGCTATGGCCACAATATTCTTGCCAATAAAGATGGTGGAGACACGGCTGTCCTGGAACAGCACCATGTTAATGGCCCGAATGAAGATAGTGACAATGTTAATGGTTACTAAGCTGAGGACTGGATACAGCATCATTTTCTGTGGAGAGATGTGCTCTCCTTGCATGCTGATTTCACTGAGTGACACACAGGGCAGAATGAGAAGGAGGATGTAGCAGTAGAAAAACATTAGTCCCTCAGCCCAGATGGGGAGCCCTGTCTTGTGTGGCTCCCACAAGTTGGCCTGAATGTCTAAGATGTCCAGGAGGTCTAACGCCACCCAAAAGAGACGCCCTCGCAGATCCTCCTTCTTCCTGAAAGTTCTTACATACTCCATGCTGTCTAGAGCCACCAGAATTAGGTAAAGCCCAGGCACACATATTGAAAGCAAAAGTGTCAAAGCTTTGCGGGCAACCGTTTCCAAATTTCGTTTGTCTGCTTTGTAGTTCTGAAAGATAAAGTACAGTTTGATTTCCAGGACAAAGATATAAAGGAACCAAAGAATCATGGCATATCCTCTCTTAGCTGTCTTCACCTCTGCTCCAACCCACACAGCCACATATCGCAGTACAATAAGGAAGCAAATGTCTCCCACCAGAACAATTATACACACCCCTATCTTTCGGGGTCCCTGGTTCTGCTCCACAAGGTAGGCATCCATGAAGGCCATGCTGGTCATGATGACAATTGTTGTGAGACACACATGACGTTTGTCTGGAGGTGGCAACACCATGGTGATGTTCCCTTTCAATAGTTCTGGTTGTTTTTTCCTTTTGTACTTTAATGGATAGGTGTGTTTTTTAATGCACAGATTTATGAGGTGAGAAAGACAGTGTTTTTGCCATTGATACTTCCAGATTGCCTACACAGATGAGATAACTTCATGTATCATGAAATGCCTTACTCTATACACAAAGCAATTGAAGAATTTCATTATTGAGAGTCCACATACAAAGTAAAAATATATGCATGTGCTTACAGGCTGAAAAAAATGCAAAAGTTAAGTTTTTGGCAATCATAGCAGATGATTCTCCTAAGAATAGTTTGAACAATGATGTTGAAGAAAATCTCATTCATTGCAATTCCATGAACCCTCTTAGTCTTAAAAGCTAAAGTCACCCTTTTACAGACTCTTAAAATGTTATCATAGCATAATTTTGGCTTTTACTTTCAAACCAGCTTGGTTTCTCAAAAAAACTATTTGAAAAGCTGTTATCATTCAAAAATATGTACATAAGTTGGCCAATGCAGGCAGTAGTTGTAAGTTCCGTAAAATAGACTGCTAATTTATATAATGTTTGCAATGATCACTGCTTAGAAAGATTTTAATTGAATGCAGAGGAAATGGCTGGAGATATCCTGATATGGTGATTAGGAAGATGAGAGTGGCAAACAGCCAGGCTAATGCAGGGGATCTAATAAATCAAACTGGGAATAACGGAGCTGCAAGTGGAAAGCTAAAGGCCATTTATCATGAAGACCCTGGAGACATGACAGCACAGATCTCCATCTTCTTGCCATCTCCCCTCTGAACATGTCATCCGTGAAAATGCATCCTTTTTCCAGTGCTGCTTGGCTCGGTTTACTCCACTTCGAAGTGCAATCTAGGGAGAGAAAAAGGAAAATCAGCGCAAACACAACTATAAGTCAGAAAGTGACAGCCACCCAGCCCTTTCAGCTGGGCCTCTCTCTCAACATTGAACGTGGATTGAGCAGACTGTCAGAAAGCAGGGGTAACACACACACACCTCATATTTAAATCAGGAACTCGTCACTGTGTCTGCATGCTGATCACTTTGTGGTTTGCATCATCACTGTTGGTTAGAAGGAGCTCCGTACTGAAAGGGAAAAGCCTCTATTTTTTATTTCATTAAAGTCATATAGCTCATTAGGAAATGTCTGTCATTACTATGTTTTGCTCCTCAATTGCTGTGTTACTGCGGAAAAAGTATCATATATAATATAATTATCATATATATCTATTTAATTTAATTCCAGCTAATTAATTACATAAAACAATGGTTAAATTTGTTCACACCTCTAAATATTCCTTGAAATAAAACAAGAAAAACAAATTTATAATAAAAAAACTCTGTGATGTGACACATCAGAGAAAAAATCACAATAATCGAGGTGAAACTGTACTGGGTTCAAGGGTCATTATTCAAGTTTGAAAGTTATATATAAATGAGTTAATTTGAGTTAGTAATATAAACTCTGAACAAAAATAAAAAGAGGTAAATACTTTCTGAGGCACTGTATATTTCCAGAGGCTTCCATTCCATTACCACTAAGACAGAGAAGAAATCACAACGATTGAAGTGAAACTCTTCTGGTCACTGGAATAGGGTAACAGACAAGATAAAACCAAAATCAATTCAAGCTCTCTGACACCTGCCTGAGAATGCAATCACATGATGATGCAGATGATCCAGATGATGCTGCTGAGCTGGCAGGCATATCCGCAGCTCAAAGGAGTATCCGGTAGCTCCAGGTGGCATCCTGAACTCCTTTTGAATTTGCGACTCCCAGGGCAGAGCTTCACTATTCAGACAGCTGTAGTCCTGGGATTACCACCCTCCTTTCATCCTTGGAAGAGGTTTTCCCTCAATTTCACAATGTGATCGAGTGTGATGTTTAACTTCAAAGTGACTATCGCCAGCTTTTTCTTAACGTGTTGGGTGCGGAACAGAGTGCTGGAGTCCTTTTGCTAGGAAAGACGTGCTTCATCTGAATTATTGTTGGTGGGGTTGTGGCTCAAACATCTGGAAACTCCTTTGAGCTGCTGATATATCTGACAGCTCATGAGCATCAGCTTCAGGTGATATCCTCTTGATTGCATTTTGACAAGGGTGTCAGAGGGATTGAATTGATCTTGGTTTCATCTTTTATGTCTCCCTCTTCTGGTATTCAGCAGACTTTCGCTTCAATTGTTGTGATTTCTTCTCTCCTGTGTCTCAGTGGTAATGCAATTTATTGCAATCTCAAATTAATTATATGTCACTTTCAAACTTGAATGATAACTTGAACCCTGGATCATTTCAATTGGTTGGCACAATTTCAGGAGAAATAGAACTGTGTATATAAGATCACTCAGTTTATAGTACATATCAGAGCAGAAACTCTAACATTAAGACAAAGGAGTTGTGGATACAACTCTGTGATAGAATCATGAGGAGTTATAGATCTCAGGAAGCATAAAAAAACATATTTAGTGTTTTGAAAATTCCTAGGATCACAATTAGATCCATCCTTAGGAAATGGAAAGAATAGGAACTTCCTAGACTAGGCCATCCTCGCAAACTGACGAATTAGGCCAAGACATGACCAAGAACCAAATGAAAACCTTGACAGAACTACAGATTGAGATCAAATAACCTGTCTAACTTGAAGGACTTGAAGATTGTGGTTCCTCAACGTTCCCTAACCAGTTGACAGGGCTTTAGCAAATTCCACAAAGAATGGGCAAAAATCCCCAAAAGCTCATGTGCAAATATACACATACCCAAGAAGGCCCAAATCTATAATTACTGCAAAAATAATGTGATACAAATGCAAAATCTTTTACAAAGTATTATAATTCAGTAAACAAGATTTTTCCACTTTTCATTTTTGATCATTTTTGATTTTACAATTAAAATATTTTGTACCTTTACCTGTACCTTTGTTACATACAGTATGTTGTGCAAGTCAAGTCCTTTTACTGTTTTCAAGATGCACAGAAGATTCTCAGCAGGATTGTGCATTATCACAGTGAAGGTCAAAGAGCTCTCTGAAGACTACACATAGATGGCTATTGGACCGCACAAGTTGGGGGGTGGATGTATAATGATCTAAAATCCGAATCTAACAACTTCACTTTAATATCTGTTATTAAGAAACTTAAGGCTACTTGGAATACTAGCAAAAGTAAGAGGCCGTGAGGCAAGTAGGTTAGAAGTTAAACATCAATTAAAAAAAGCAGACACTTCCAACACCATTTGGCATCTTCAGGATCCAAAATGTTGAAAACTACTACTTGGCATTGCCTATATTAAAGCAGCTTTCATGGTCTGGCTGTAAGGAAGAGGCCAGTTCTGAGGTTAAGCCTAGAATTACTCAATTATTTCCAAAATATCTGAAGATAACTGGAACAATAGCTTATGGTGAGATGAAAAAAAAAGAGATTATTCTATATATTCATCAGTATCACTGTTGTGTTTGGCATAAAAATGTAAAGCTCAGGTTGAGAAAACACTCACACCCACAGTGAAATATAGAGGGAGGGGGGCTAATATATTAGGTTTTGTGCGTGCTTTGCATCTACAGTATATGTTCTGGATCTTTGTTCACAGAGGGCAAATTATAATCAAGGACGTTTTTGATAAACACTTGGTTCCCTCAGCTAAGAAACCCAGGCTTGACCAAAAAGGAACATTCCAGCATGACAATGATCCAAAGTGTGCACCTACAATGACAAATTAAATAACTATACACCAAATAAATGTTCTTGACACACCATTTCAATCTTCAGGCCTTTGTAGTTCAAACTCAATATGACTGCATATGAAAATCAAAGGGTATGAAGGAACTGGAGTGATTCTGCCCAGAGTTATTCTGCTAGGTGGTATCTTGTCAGTGTAATCTATGTGAAAGGACTTCCGAATTACTAACTACAGGATTAGTAAATTTTATGTTCCTAGTGATGCCTATGTTTTTTTATTAATTCTAAGCTGACACATATGACAAATATGACATTTCCTCTGTGCAATGCTATAGAGAGCATAGTATAACATTTTGCGAATTTAAGATTTTTTTAAGACAGGCATACTATTTTATCTGTAAATGTCATCTAGTGTATGAATAAATCTGTTAATTCAACAACTTGACAATACATAGAAATCTGGAGTAATTTATTTATTATTTTCAATATTGGGAATTGATATATGTGTTATATAAATATTTGTAGAACAACAATTTTTATGGTAGTTATATAATCACACAGAACTATTAATACTTTATTAATTATTAATTTATCTTATAGGTATCATTGTTGTTTGATGTTATCTAAGACAGAGCATACCACAGCAAAATGGTTGGAACACATGTTCAGTATGTAAATATTATTTTTAATCTAAACCATTTTAATACACATTGCACATATAATACATTAAATATGCTGCTAATATTTTAAATGTATTGTCTAGTTACTATAAAAATAGGAATATAAATATTGACTTTGTTGCCATCTATCCAATTTACACAGAAAAAATGTATCAAATGATTTCATAGTGCTAAAACAATCATGCAATAATTAAATATTTGAAAAGCTTGTTTTACTCTAAGTGTAGTTACAGAGAAAATGCAAAAACTACTTGTATTTCCACAGTGTTGAAATTTGTACTGGAATGTCCAGATTTTTTTTTCTTTTTAGTCGGCATAATTACCATGTCATCATTAAGTTATATTATGACCACTGTCATTATAATAGAATAGTACTAGAAATGTTAATATTAACCAAATCATTGTGAATTACCATCAGAATTGTACTTAGAAATTATGCAGTTATTACACCAGTAAAATAAAGGGTTTCCAAAAATGACAATTGCAATGCAGTGAAAAAAAATAATATTATTATTGGAAAGTATTAGAATGCAAAATGTTCATTCACTTCCACATGTGTGCAAGTCAGGACAAATTTTAAAAAAGATCTGTCTTTTACTCATTTGAAGACTTTGACTAGTTAATCCCTCATCAGGATGGCTGAGTAGTCTAAGGTGACTCTTAAAACCCCCAACCTCCTACAACCCTTTAATGTCATTATTAAATATATATATATATTGCCTGTCATTTTAAATTTGTTTTAAAAATCAAATGCTACGGTACATAACAGTTTTCCATATATAGACTTCTAGATGATTATGATTCTGATTCAAATTCTGCATATTATTGCTTCTGATGTATTGATGATTATTTTGCAAGGTTTTTTCCCATGATATATAGTATAAAAATGTACAAATAAACAATATTCAGGATTCCTTTCTTTTGTTATCATTGACCTGTCATCGTAGTGAGTCCTGTGTCATATTGTGAGAATTAGAGAATGAAACATGAATGAGACACAGAAAAGTCCACAGAGTAAGGCACCAGTTTATATCCTCATAGAACATTACAAGTGACATCTTCTCAGTGTAATCCATGCTCCACAATCCAAAACCTCCAAAAGAAGACACCAGTGCAAGTATCTCATAACACACTACAAGTAATGTTTTTTTATTATAATCTTGTAACGAACAGTTCTTTCCGGACCCTATGCAGACGACACAGTCCGACGGAGTGGGGAAACACTAGGGAAACGTCATGCAGGAATACGGGGCAGAAGACAGGGGGTCGTGTCCAAGGTGCGCTGGTGCACAGGGGAGGTGTGGCCGAGGCGAACAATCCAAGGGTAGTCCTAGGGAATATCCAAAAACACACGAGAAAGTCCAAAACCAGAAGATCCATCAGAACAAGATAAAAACCACGAAGGCCGGGTCGGAACCGGCGAACGGGGAACAGGAACGGGAACAGAGGTTAAAACCTTAACGGGACCAGGCGCTTCCAGGTCCCAGACTCGCACGGTACGGAAACCAGAGCAGAGCCCGGATGAGCGTCAGCGCCTGGCTTTTAAGGTGGGCTGGGAATGGGAAACAGGTGCACAGAATAAAGTCTTGAGTGATAGGGCTGGAGCACCCTTAAGGAGGGGGGACTATAGTCGTGGCAAAATCTATGCTCTACCATCCAAAACTTCCACGGAGGAAAACACCAGTGCTTTAACCTAATAGCACACTACAAAAGGCATCTTGTCACTGTAATCCAT